GTTATAACGTGGTATCAGAGCACAAGTTTAGTTGATTCTGTGGACTTAGTGTATTTTATTTATGAAATGAGAAAAACGAAACATTTAAGGCACTCCATGGTATATTGCGTCCATCAGTTGACCTCATCCTACAAACCCAAAGTATTGAATAAAATATCATGTTCCACTTTATTTTTCGAGCATGATTTATAAATCATTTAAACTTGAATCTATGAAGATGCTTATAATGTTTAGAATGAAATATGTTATGTAAGTTATATTTCGTTTAAATAAAAATAAAGAAAAGATAATTGCTCATTATATTAAAACCTCAAGTGCATAATGTGTAAGTTGATGTCACTAACAAAGATAAAACATAATTGGACACTTATGTAATAGACATGGTTAGGACTTATCAGAAGACTAGAAAGCCCACAACTTTAGAGCAGCGTTGAACCGTAAGTCTATCATTCTGTCCTATGCGAACTATGTGACTAACCCGTCTCGTCCATTTGTTGAACACGTACATGACATCTACGAGAGATGTATGGCAACTGTAGATACAGGACTGGAGATCACGCATATCAAGGCTGTGAATAATCTCATACATTCATTCCCATCTCAATGGGGAAACATGAGAGTCATGGTTAGGGATGAAATGCTAGAAGGTAACTCTCTAGAGCATCCAAATACAATTGAATTTAGTATATATTGCCAGATCCTTCTAGATAGGTGGAGTGAGAGCTTAGAACCTCAACCTAAGATAGTAATTGAGCCCAATGATGAGGTTGAGCCCGAGCCTCAATTTGAATCAGACCTAGAGGAAGATCCCAAATGGGAACAAGAGTGTAATAACCAAGTTAAAATAATAAAATAATATAATTACTTAAAATGGTTCAAACAAAAACTTTAGTCAGATGTGTCAAGCTAGGGGAAAAAAAACCACAAAACAATAAAATAATAATAAAGTTTAGGTATCGCCTATTTAATTTTTGAAATTATTTAAAATAATTAATTGTTTATATAAAAATTATATCATATTTCAGGCGACAATACTAATATCAGAACAGTTTGCCAACTGGGTTAATTTTGCGAACATAGTTCTGTAAGTGAAAAAATATAAATATTTTTAAAGTATTTATAAATTAAGTTTATTGTTAAAGTATGTGCAATTATATGTAATTATGTGTTCGAATTACATGGTTATTATGAAAATATCTATTATTATGCTACATGTGAGATTTCAAAGATTGTATACGTTACATTGTGAATTGAAATATGAGATATGATTTTGAGATGTACCAGAAAAGTACCCGCGATTATATATTTCTTCTAATTCACTGAGGGGCTTTGACCGTGTACTATACTACACTAAAGGGTCTTGGACCGAGGATAGAGGGGTCTCGACCGTGTATATATAGTTCACTGAAGGGCCTTGGCCGTGTTCTAGAATTGATTATGAGAAGCTTTGAGACCGACTTTCGTTCACGGAGGGGCCAAAGGCCTGTGGCGAGAGTTCTCAACCCGAGAGGCGGATTATATATTTCAGTCAGAGGGTACATTTTTGGTGAATTTTTCAGTACGTTTGATGTGATGAGATTATAGAATGATTATCAATTGATGTTTATATCATAATTTTGAGATGATATTTTATGATCTTATGTGAATATTTCACTTTCGGTTATAATCACATGATGTTATCTTGTGAATTATCAAATGATTGAATTATCAACTCCAAAAACCAGCAAAAAAAGGAACACAATGAGGAAATCTCAACTTAACAGCCATTACCTCAAAAAATCCCAACTTACAAAGATAAGCTAAGATTTCTCGAGTCAAAATCAAATGGGGATGGCACCCGTTCAACCTGATACCCGTGGGGCCCACCCCAAATGGGGCGGGTACGGGATGAGGGTCATCACCCCAAAGCGGGTATGAGAAACATAGTCCCCGCCCTGTTTAATGCTAATTTCAAATTTAAGCTTTTATCAAATAAAAATAACAGATTTATTATCATTTATAAAGAGAACATAAGTCGTTTTTAACAAATTGGTAAAAAAGTGATAATATTTACTAACTAATAACATAAAAAAAAGCAAAAAAATAAAATGAATAAAAAATAAAGAGAAAAAATAAATGGGGAGATAAATCGGGCAGGGGACCTACCCTGCCTGCCACGATCCAGCACTGAACTCACCTCGTTTCGCTTCAACTGGGTATGGGTATACAGTAAGATAACAAAAATACTCGATAGGATGGGAATGAGAATGGTAAACCCGTCCCATACGCTCCCTGTTGCCATGCCTATCAAAAACCCCAAATCAATTAATCTAGAAAATCAAGTATCATCTCACTGACTGCTCACCTTCAACCGGCATACTGTGAAATCAAAATAAATTATTTCAAGAAATGGTCGTTTCCATAATATTTTGCTGATGATGAGATTTAGGATCGTCAATATAAAAACCATATTGGAGTAGTAGGTCAGCATATCTCGAGTGATGCTAGCTCGTGGGTTTGTGAGATTTCAGACAATAATCTAGTTTTTGCAATTGATTCCATTTTTAGGGCTTGTCGATTTATGTAGTCTTTCTAAAAAGCCGTGTGAATTGATTAATTATAATTTTAATAAAAGTTTATAAAATATATAGAAAAATTAATAAAATTCATGATGAGAAAAAATGTGTTTAAAAATTGGAAGATCATTTTTCACTTATTGGCACTTACTTCATGCTCGTTCAACCATGCTTTTCACTGCTGCTTATAAAATGAGTAGATTACAGCTATCTAAATTTAACTCTGGCATACACTCCTTCCATAGCGCAACCCAATAAACTGTACAAACTAGATAGAGAGAGCTTCATTACTCTCGATTAAGCCTTGTAGTCGTCTCCATAGAGGCTGAGACACCACCAAGACGCGTAGCAGGTCCAACTTGTTCCTGACTTCCGCCTTGATTACCCCTTCAGAATATTTGTTGTTACAGATGCCATGCTACCTCCAACATCGTAATATATTTTAACCTTGTCCATACTAATATCGATATGCATCTCGATCGATGTCATGCCAACTAGATCATGGTATCTGCCGTTGGTCGGTAACAGAAGACCAAATGATTTTGTATCGCGGGTTAAGATTGTAGGTTAATATCAGATAATTAATCGAGAGGTTCACGTACAGATAATTAATATCAGCGAGTGAAATCATGAAATAGTGTTGAAGAGTGATTAAGAAATCATATATTCAAATTGCTGGCATTGGAAAACCAGTTTTAGTTTTGAATTACCATGCAAATAAATGATTTCCTTATTGGCAGCTCATAAATGCTTTTCAGTTACATTGAGATTATTTTGGAAAGTTGAAATGGTAGTTCATATCATGTGAAATGTATGGTATATTTTAAATTTTGAAATATGTATGGTATTGTATGAAATACTTTATATTTCATAAGCAAATGCGAATTTTTCCGATGTTTAAAAAGGAGAAGAAAAAATGGAAAAATTCGTATATAGCCTATTACAAATAAAGATTTCATATTTTACTAGGTGAATGAAATATAACTAAATATACTAACATGAATGTAAATTAGATTAAAAAATACACTTCTAAATATAGATTCTAAAATTCATTTGTAACTGACGTTATATGAATTATGCTGATTTGACGTTCCACATTCAATGACTATTAATCCCCGATTTAACTCTACTCAATTATTTCAGAGATATGCAAAATTCCCAATTCAATCTTCTTCGTTACGAGACTTCAAACCTAACCTAAGGTTCCTAAGAAATCATCATCCACATCAAAATCCATCGTCTAGTACCTCGTTATCCTTTTATTTCCACATTTTATGTCCGAAAATCCATTCTGCAATCTCTAATTTACAAATTTTCAGGATTGTTTTCGAATATATAAAACCATCGCAAAGTTAACACCACCAGTAAAAGGCAAATCGACAATGTTGTGGGTGACTCGAGCGCTAAGAAGAAGAAAATGGTTAGACTGCATACATATCAAGCAAGAAAGACAGCAAAATTTTAGTCAAAATTTTTCGGAGTCACTAATCTGTGGTTTATTTCGTTGTGTGTATTATTTTTAATTATTTTTTTAGTACAGTAGAATGATTTGAGTATAAAATACATGTAAGGTAAATTTTACTTGTTCTATTCTTTTTACGTTGATTGTTTTTAGTTTTATATATATCGTTTCTTTTGATCATTGCTCGCACAAATCAGCAAAAACAAGTTTCCAAATTCGAAGGAAGTTATAAAGCCACCGCTACAGTTTGGTCCTTATGTCGTCGACACGAAAACACGATGGTATGAGCTTTGCCAGCCGAACGTATACCTCAGGAATTTAGTAAGTGTGTGTTATTTTCAATTTATGTTACTGAAATTCCAATAGTTTTACAGTATATTTTCTAATTATTTTGGACGCCAAACCTCAATGCAGTACTTAAACGTGTGTTTCTACTATTTGTGGAAAATGTTAACGTTCAGCTTTTTGAAGTTATATAGATGTATGACGACCGACTCATTCTTTGGTTCTATGGCTCGACCAGTATACAAGTCACGATGGATGACATAAGGGCAATTTCAAAATTCACGTCACTTGTAGAATATCTGAATGGGGATTATATGCCATGGTGTGATGTAGATCATGTACTGTTCCTAGTCATGATGGACAACAAAGCTCATTGGATTTTTGCCCAATTTACAAATCAAGCAGATTAACCGTGAGAGACAGAATGGTCATTGCCGATGTGGAGGCTTTTTGCATGTGTTCTGCCATGCTTGATGGTTAAGATTAAAACCTGGTAGCCCAAGATCATTGATGGAGCAAAACGCGTTGACCCTCTCATTTTCAAGATAGCTAGAGTCATATATTGTTCCCAGTCATGATGGACAACAAAGCTCATTGGATTTTTGCCCAATTTACAAATCAAGCAGATTAACCGTGAGAGACAGAATGGTCATTGCCGATGTGGAGGCTTTTTGCATGTGTTCTGCCATGCTTGATGGTTATGATTAAAACCTGGTAGCCCAAGATCATTGATGGAGCAAAACGCGTTGACCCTCTCATTTTCAAGATAGCTAGAGTCATACCGCAAGATGAGTATGGGTGAGTAAATACTAATTATAATTTATATTGTAATGTTAACTTACATGTAAGGATGTTGACACATCACATTAAATGTTACATATACACATATCACAACATTTACTCTTTCTCACACGCCCTGCTCTACTTGCTACATCCACCTTACATTTGTTGTATTTTTTATTCAAAAACTATACAGGCATGACTGTGGATTGTTTGTTATTAAGTATGCGGAATGTATCATATACGGGAAGATTGATGTGATAGCTAAAAATTTCGATCAGATATTATCAAGATTATGCGTTGATGCTCAACTTTTCAAGCATGGGTGCGATAAGCAGATAGAAGAATATAAGACTGACTTTGACATGGTTCCACAGTCTGTGAAGAGGGACAAGAAGATGAAGGGTGTGATTATTGCTTGACAGCTGTTTTAATAAATTAGCTTTCTTTTGTGTAGTCATCTAAGTTTTTAATTCCAAACTTGAAGTAACTTTTTTGTGAAGTACTGTTATGTACATTCAGTTGTTCATGTGTTAGTTTGTTATAGATCACACATTCATTCCTCTAGTCTTCTTTTTTTTTTTTTATGACGGGAAACTCGCAGTCGCTACCCTTCGGGTGCGCACTGGATAAACCCTCGGACTAACACAATAGCCTATAAATCACGCCAACCAGGTAAACTGCACTGGGCAAGCCCTGTGCGACAAGTTTGACCGAGAAAGTGTTGGTAGGGGGAAACGAACTCGTGACCAAAGGTCTCCGCGCTTACCTACTCCACCACCTCGGTCACCGCATGAGGGGATCATTCCTCTAGTCTAGATGCTATGGACATCAACTCTTTACAGTAATGTTCTTGTTTAGACTAGTTATCGTTATATAATAATATGAGTGTGTTTGTCCGATATTCAAGCATTTAACGATTTCATATTTAGATTTATTTTCTCTCTAGTATCGAAGCAGGAATATCTATCATGATGATAAGTTACCTTTTATCATTGTACAGTTATATTGGCTCAATTTTTTTGTTCATGCGATACTCTATTGTTTAGGAAACCTAATAGTGTCCAAATTCATTGTATTGATTGTTTTGAGAATTTGATCTTCCCAAGTGTATTTTCTTGGGGCAGACAAAGTTTTTGTTAATTTGCATATTATTTAGAAATTTTTTGGATAGAAATTGATGATTTTGTAAAACAAAGAGAAAGATAGGTCTTGTGCAGAGAAAAATGATCAGTACATGACCATGATCAGTTGCCTTATATATATACATTACAAAAGTTTGCTACCTTGCTTCTAGTCGACAACTTTCTACCAACTACAATCTTAGCTGTTGACATGATAAACCATGCTGTGAAAGACATTTTAATGACAAAAAATAAACACTACATGGACTGATTTTAATACATACAATTGTTACAAAAAGTCATAGCAAAAGGGACAAATAAACATCAACACTCTTGCTTGACACTTTTGCTGGAAACACCAAGACTTTTCCTTAATGTTTCAAACCTTCCTTTCAATAATGACTTGGTTATATGTCTGCATATTGGTCTTCAGCTTTGAAATGCACCAGCTTCACTTCACAATTCTCTTGTGCTTCCCTAATTGCATGATACCTGATTTTGATATGTTTTGTTCTTCCATGGAACACCGGATTTTTGACCATGGGTACAGCAAATTGGTTATCACAAAAGATCACAGTTGCATTAGCCTGTTTGTGGTTTAGATCCTCCAAAACTTTTCTTAACCAAACAGCCTGATCGGTAGCTTCTAAAGCAGCTACATACTCACACACTCTGCCTCGTCTATTGATTGAGCTACACTTTTCTGTTGTACTGAGTTCCAGCAAATCACACTTAAACCAGCATAAAATACATAACCGGGGGTGCTCTTCATATCATCGAGCGATCCAGCCCAATCACTATCCGTAAAACTAGTTAAAACCAATTTTTCTGACTTCCTAAACCAGATTCCCAACCCCACATTCCCTTTTATGTATCTTAGCACCCTTTTTGCAGTTGGAAATGGATTTCACTTGGTTCTTGTCTAAACCTGGAAAGTATATTTGCAGTATATGTAAGCAACTTCTCCTAAAGCTAGCTCATTAGGTCCAATCTCCTAAAGCTTTCATTATTGCTAAAGCAACGGGACAGTTACACGCATGAAATATAGATTATAAAAGGCCATTGTGTTGGGAAATCGAGTTCATTTATTAATTCATGTGGTAAACCACATGGCTTTGAGACTTAACATCACAATCAATGTGGAGTACTGGGCAAGTTGAACACATAAGGATGGGTATGCACTTATATATTCTAATCTTATGAATGTCTTTTGGTAACCATAGGTTGTCTCGCGTTATATCGGTTAACTAGTAAACTTTGATCTTATTGCAACAAATGAACCAGTTGTTTTATTTAGACTTGTTATTGGATTTAACTGATACTCTTTGATTGTAATTTCTCACTTCTAGGAAATGGATCGGGAGTTTCTTTTACGCATGTCTTACATGGAGATCTACAATGAGGAGATAAATGATTTGTTGGCTCCTGAGCATCGGAAATTGCAAATTCATGAAAGTATCGATCTATTAGTTTGCTTTTTCCACCTATATGACTACTTTCATTGTGCAGATAAGTACTAATCGTCAGTGTCTCACATTCTTTTTGTTTTTCTATAACATGAAGCGAGGGATTTTTGTTGCCGGTTTAAGAGAAGTAATTGCGGCGTCTCCTGATCAAGTTCTTGAACTCATGGAATTTGGGGAATGTAAGTTCTCCTTTTATTTATCTAAATGTACTGACAGTTCTTACTTTCTAAAGTTCCCATTCTCAAAGGAATGCTCAGAATCTAATTGTATCTATTATTATCCATAATGAATCAAGTTCCTTTTGATTCCCTTTCATCTGTAAATTTGAAAAGGGGAAACTCAAATGAAACCCACCCTCATCCTCATCTTAGTCTTACGTAATCAAATATTCAAGCGGTGGATAACAATTTAAACTCTTTTGCTCTCTGTTATTGATTTTACAGCTCATCGTCATATTGGGGAGACAAATATGAATGTATACAGCAGTAGGCCACACACGATATTCCGCATGGTAGGTTTATAATTCTTATACAATTCATCAATCTGTCAATTTTGCTAATGAAAATTTGTAAATATAGATTATTGAGAGCAGAGAGAAAACTGATGATGCAGAAGCAGACTTGTCATGTGATGCAGTTCGTGTCTCTGTCTTGGTATGCAGTTCGTAGTCCTCTCTTTGTTTCTTCATCTATTTAAAAATTCATCTCCTAAATTATTATTTTTAATTGCTTTTTCAAGGGAATAAATAATCATGTTTTTGGCTTTGCTGTTATCTTAGACTTGGTAATCTAAAGTCTCTTCTAAGGTAAAAGCTTATTTACGAACATTGAAAATTAATAATAATGATTTAGTACATGAGCGTCTCTCATAGGGGATTTCTGTTGTGACTATCAAAAAACACCCACATCTTTTATTTCATTCCCCATCTTCCAGGAGGTATAGCTGATAGCATTTGTGAAATCCTGAGTTCTCCAGCTTGTCTATGTTTCTAATGGATTTATCTGACCCTTTTTGTTGGGGTTTAAAAATGCTGAAGAGGCTGAAATGTTATGGCCTTGTCCTGATGGCTATAACTTGGTCTAAATGGTTTGGGAGGAATACTAGGATTTCTTAGATTATAATTATAATCTCATTGCTTATAGGATAGAGTTGTGTTTTGTCATCTTCGAGGGCCAAAGCTGTGGGGCTGTTTGCTGATTTACAATTCTAAGTGTGCAATGTGATTTGAAGGAATTTTTTATTTTGGGATGCAGTGGTGTTTGTCATTTTTATGTGCAAATGTTTTGCGATTATACGCTGGTTTAACTTTATTGCACTTGCAACTTTTTGAGCGATTTATTTGTGTAGTTATTTCTTCCTCCTTGTCATGTAGATTTGTAATTTTTCTCTCCATCTATATTCACACTCTCCGTGACACACTGCTCACACAGCAGAGAAACTCTCTCCGTGACACACTCATAAATTCAAACGATGTCGAAATATTACATTCTTAATCTCATTTTGAAATATTCATAATCTAGTATTTCACGTCGTCAATGGTGAATGAAATGACCAATCGTAGCAAATTTTACAGTGCGTCAAAGTATGCATTTTCAAACTGATATTTCAAGAATTTCGATAACAAGTTAACTTTAAAAATTCTTTGATAATTTTATGCTAGTCGAATCCATAAATTTTCTATATTCTCTCGACGCTCATTTCGAAAACTATATCATAAACATATCAAATGATCTAAATTAATATCGAAAATTTTAAACGTACATGATCAAATACGTGCGTTAAAAAATGCGTATAACTTGTATTTTTTAAAAAATAATTATTTTAATAATGTTTATTATTTTTTTACGATAATTTTTTCAATATAATTTATATCATTTTATTATAAAAAATTATGTGGTAACAGGCAATAATAAAAAAGCTGCTCTTTATTATCTAGCTGCCTTAAAAGCAACTATTGGTAACAGGCAATAACGCAGCTACCACTAGCTGCGTACATCCTAGGCAGTAGTTTCCATGCTCCTTTTCCCTCTTTTTTTAACAATCAGCCTTCTTGGGAATAAGGAGTTTACAAAGGAACGTGCAGGACCATGTCAGCTAAACATAGTAAAATGGCAGGCCAATGTAATTAGCCAGGTATAGCCCTTTTCCCAGAAATTCAACAATCAGCATTCTTGGGAATAAGGAGCTTACAAAGTAACGTGCAGGGCCATGTCAGCTAAACAAAGTAAAATGCAGGGTCATGTCAGTCTAATACTTCCAACTCCATGTCAGCTAAACAAAGTAAAATACAGAGCCAATGTAATTAGACAGGTATAGCTGGAATGGGTAATTGAAAATAGCCCTCATTTTCTGCTTTCATATTGAGTAATCCCCCTTTCCATTGAATTGAGACAGTTCTACCCTTGAACCCATAACAGATTCAATGGAATGGTGATTTGAGCTCGAGGCCATTTGGTAATCTCAGATTCCCAAAAATAAGCAGAAAAAGTTTTTGAAAAAACACTCAGGTTTTACAGATCAGTCAAGAAACAATTTCAGAATTAAACAAATGAAATGAAAAATCAGATTACTGTGAATTGTGTGTGCTGCAGGCATGTATGATAATCAGCAATAACAAGTAATTCGTCAATTAAAAGTTATGCAGTCCAGATATGTGTAATACTCAGCAATAACATGCAATTCGTCAATTAACAGTTATGCACTCCAGATTACAACATATATCAATATGGCATGCAGCAACAAATTCCAATTTGCATTAAACAGTAAGAAACCAGCATGAGATTTTAAATTTAATCCTAGAAATTTAAACGATCTCACCAAAACTGTTGAACAACAGTTTAATACTTCTGAATCCAGTTTCTTATCAAGAAGCTAAGAGTCCAGCAGGTCCAACTCCAATTTAGTGGAACCAAAACAGTAATTCAACCTGAAACACTTGATCAAACAATATCAGTAGTATTTTTAACCAATTCAATAACACTGCAGGCACATTAGAGGTCTGCAGAATCCTCTAAATTTCCAGCCAGTGAATTTTACCCAAACATTGGTTCAAGAAACCTCAGAATCTGACCCAAGAAAATAAAGAAATCTGACTCTGCAATTAATTTTTAGTTTCTTCAAATTGCAGATCACTTGAAAACTTATTTTTCACCAAGGATGATTTATTTGAAAATTTTCAGAAATCAAAAAAATACTCAAGAAGCCTAACACAGGCTCTGATACCAGTTTTGTTGGGATTTTTGGTCCCAAATCAGATTTTACCCTAAACGATTTTATATTTTCAGCATTACAGTCAAACCAAAAATACTCAATCGGTAAAATCAAAAAGCAGCATCACAAACAAGTAATTAAAGTGCAGAAATTAAAGAACACAAACACCACAAATTGGTGACCCAGTTCACCCAAATAAGGGCTAATCTGGGGGGCTCAGGGGTAAGCCCGTTGAATGCAATGCACTACGCCTTCCAAGGGTCCAGTTTACAAGTGGTACACAATCAGATTGTACTCCAAACCGAGAACAACATCACCACTATATTCAGTCTCTAAAACCTCAAGAATCAACCCTAATCGATCTATACAAAAGATCTCACAATACTCCACCAAATCGAAACCTGACCTACACCAAGTATAGTATCTGACTTCACAGTTTAATCTCCACCAAAACAAGGCTAAAAACTGCTCAAATACAATACCAAACATCGACTATTTCTTCGCTGAAAACGGACCAGATTTCCGGTCAAAATACCACCGGACCGTAGACCACAAAATAGCCGAAATACTACCGTTGATACCTCATCAACCACCGGTCAGAATTTTAGATTTAATACAAGTGGAAAACCTTGAGAAATCACCAAGAAAGGGCATCGAGAGAGAGAGAGACGAAAGGAAGAGGAGCCCAAATTGAAAGAAAAGAATCTGCCCACCTAATTGCCAAAACCTTCCACGTGAATGAAAAGTCCACCAAGTAATATAAAAGTGGATCTAATTCTCAACCATTGATTTTAATCAATGGTCCTTGTTTTTCCAAACAAAAACCAATCCTTGTGAAAGCCAAAATTGCCAATAGAATTTTGCCATGTGGCTTCAACCACTTAAAGAGTTGTAATTTTTGGAAACACATTTTTAACTTTCAAACACCTCAGCAGATGGTGAAGCCGTTTCGGCCTCAACCGCAGCACTTGCAGCTGAGCTCGAGAATGAACAACACGATAAAGATTCGGATTCTCTAAACGGGTCCAGCCGGAAACCATTTCTGGATCCACGAGCAAGAGCGGAACGCTGCGTTTTTGTGGTGAAGAGTTGAAGGATCTTGGTTCTAGTTGTTAGAGACATTCTTGCAAACATTTCTACATTTTCATGTTCATGCTTCTTATATAAATAAAAAAATATCCAGTGAAATAAACTTTACTGATGCCATATTTGAGAGAGTTTTAGAGGAAACTTCTTGTTAACACGACCCTTTTTAATAAAATGACATTCTTTTCAAAATATTCATTTTTGAGTGGTTATATTATCATCATAATTTTTATTTGATATACCACGTTTGATCCCCATTAAATTAAATTACATTACATTACATTTTTCTCTCTCTTATTTTCAACAACACAATCTTTCATAAAATAATATTACACGTAAATCGAAAACTTTTACTTCTTTTTCAACCACTCATTTTTCTAAAAAATATTATTCCCCCCCCTTCCCATTTTCATTTTTAGGTAATGGGCATCAAACGGGGGCTATATATTAATACAATTAAGTTATTTAATATTTGCTTATTTTAGCAATTATTTTCTTAACTTTTCATCAACAAATTCTTATCTTCAACATTCAATTAACTAATACATCTCTTTTTTATGATGATTTATATAAAAATATTTCATTTTCATGTTCTGAAATGAGATAAAAATATTTTTCGCACTTTTATTATTTTTTAAATATGATGGAAAAACAAGTTTTTTACCCCATTTTAATGGATTTTTGGACATAAAATATGTTATCAAATATAAAAATATATTACATAATAAAAAGTTTGATAATAAGAATGACGTGAAAACTATTAGGGGCATAAATGTTATAATGTGCAAAGATTAAGAACCTTAAACGCAATTAAAATATAGTGCAAGAAATAAAAAATGTGTTGCGAATATAATTACCCTACGTTTTATTATTTAAAAAAAAAATCCTTCGATTAAAACAACCTCTACTTAAATTTTAACTTTGATCCAAATGAGTCAAAAGATACTCTATACACGAAGAAAATGATAACTAGTGCAAATAAAAAATGACGATTTATTTTTACGGTTGTGCTACATATACATCATCACTTACTAATTTATTTATCGATAGATAATGTAACAAAATTTGATTGAGTTAAAATCTCATTAACCAAGCTCTTGTTTGAGCCCCATTTTAAGTTAAAGAATGTATTTTTAAATAGTGATTAATTGAGAATGTGTGGCTAAAAATTACGAAAAAGTTTTCAATCTGTGTGTAATATTATTTTATTGAAAAATATATGGTTGAAAATAAGTTTTGAAAAAATGAATTTTTGGAAGTTCTCAAACAATGAATGAAAATTTTATTAAATGGTAATGTACAAAAAGCATTTTTTTAATTAGTCGACTATATACGTTATGAAATATTTATTGTGCATCATCACATATTCTTTTCTAAATTGATGAGGTGGTTAAGAGAGAGAGAGAATTTGAATCAATTAAATCTTATTACATTATCCGTTGATAAATAAATTTATAAATTGTGATGTAAATATAACAAAATCGATATAAGTTAATATTAAAAGTTCATGGATCACAAAAGTTAATTAGAAACCAAAAGACAATTGTCAAAGATTTCGCACTTTTAATTATAGGCTCCGTTTGGTACACATTAATGTAAAAATAGAATGAAAAATATAGTCGTTATGAACCCCACACAAGAGATAGAAAATTAAATACAGTAGTTTGATGTGAGTGATAACGATCATATTTTTCATTTTAATGGACAAATAATGAAAAACAAACGGGTGAATAATTTTATTCACATTACAAAATTATGTCAACGTCAATCGGAACGTGTAAATAATAAAATCCAAAGTTTTTAGTTGAATTTAAATTATTTCCACGAATTACGTACTTCAAAAGATAATTTGTTAGGTAATTAAACAAAAACAATCATACTTGTGGTACACTGTGGTATCCAATATGATGTTCAAAATGGACACCGGGCACCTCGACAGCCGAGGTGCCTGCCACGTCGGGGCCCACCGGTATCTCGGCCAATACCGAGGTGTCCATT